TCAAGCACCCACTTCTGCCCTTGAACAAAGTTTCGCTTTCTTGCAGGTAATCATTCGTTAGTGATGATCAACTTTTAAGTTTACTCCTCTGGAAACGGGGGAGGAGAAGGGCATTTTTCCATGCACTCTTTGTGTTCACTGAGCTGTGCTAACACATGGTGGAGATAAAGAAGAAGAGAGAGAGGCAATTGTCACTCCTTATAATCTGCAATATAAATACCTTGTTGGGCGATACGACATTAACATAAGTAGCACGGAGGTCTCTGTGTACAATATGCTTCATATGGAGATAATGCATAGCAGACGCCACTTGAGACAGGAACGTTACTATATCACCAATCTGACATCGCTTTTCAAGAACATAGTTGTTCAAATTACCGAGAGGAGCCTCTTCGGAGATCTAGTAAGAAAAAAAAATTCCCCGGCTTTAATCTGCTCACTTAGAATTGTCAGTTTTTCTTCATAAATTATGTACTATCCACCACCAAAAGTAAGACAAAGGCAACCTGTTTTAGTGCTTCCAAAGTACACTCTGAATGAAATTATTTGAGCGTTGTCCGAACAGAAATGTCAAAAAAAAGTTTTTCACAGTATTTCTAGAGCTATAGTGATACAGGCGTGGACAAATTCAACGGTACTTACGACATCTGCCATTGGAAAGCGTGAATCCAAACCGTCTATTCTCCATATGGTAACAAGATTTGAATGTTTGAGGGCGAGGAGACCTCTAAGGTGATGATCATCTGTCCTTTTGATCTTCTCGCTGACTGTAGAGTCTGAAGTCTGAAATCATACAATCACAGGAGTAACATTGTGTGCATAGAGAAAATTATGTATAAAATGAATGGTTACAGTTATGCAGTGTTTTACAGACGGAAGGACGAATATTTATAAGAAATAAGGAGAAATTACTCTCAAAAGAGGTTTCCAGAGATTGCTGAGATAAATTTTAATACAACGGTTATCTTCCGATTCTTCACACTAAAATTGTTATGAGTACTAGGCTAACTCTCGAGGTCTCGTATGCTTTTGATTGCCTTACAAGGTTAATGACCCGACACCTTGAAAAAAAGCGTTAAGTTATAAGGCGACGTTATTTTGTGCTTCTCGTTGATCATGAAAGTTTACTTACCCGACCCAGTTGCCTTTTTCTCGGGAGGTCATCTGGGTCCAAAAATGTATCACAGTCTGAAAGTTTTTTCTGAAAAGAGGAAATAAAATGTGGGTGGAAAACACCATCGAGCATAAGCTATATAACCTACCTTAATACCTGGACCATTTAAAGACCAAAGATAGAATCATTGAGGCACTAAACAAAAGATTATATAAGAATTAGCCCTTTGCTATGGCCCAATTAAATCGGTTTTACCTCCGCTCTCTCTTTATCTGACAAGTTGTGCACGTAGTAAAGACCTGAGGTGGAAACATTAAGAGATAAGTATTTAGTTGTAAGCTCCTCTGCTATCTATTTCAGGAAGTTTGGAATGCCGGACAACAACGACTTTGATCATGGGATGCCATAAATCTTAAACATAAGAGGCCTATTATTCAAACGAAGTTTATACAGCGTTATGAAAGTCACCGTCTAACCCTTGTTCAAACTAAGGAAACCAATTATTTAAACTCTGATTGTCCACAACCTTGTTCAAACCATGTTTAACCACCGCTTAAGTTAAAGAACAGTAGCGACTAAGACCTACTCGGAGGTTGGTGTTCTCAATTTCCTTTCTCACTTTTGCCTTTTTCGTCAATCTCTTATTGTCATATGCTTTACTTTCTATACCTGAGAATAACCCTCGCGATTCCACCAGCAATTCTTCTGCGCTAAAATTTGCTGTTTGGCCGGATTTTGAGGCCATTTTGGGTAAAACCTTCAAAATGCACATGCAAATCACTCAAAAGACCATGCATTGCCCCGCCCCTAACTGCAAAAAACATGGATCAGCCACGTGTTAATAAGTAATTCAAACATGTTTTAACCGTTGTCTATTGAAACAACCTTTAAACCGCGTGTTTGCCTTAAAAATTGTATAACTTAGACTCCGTTTAAATAACCGGCCCACTAAGTGAGTTGGATGAATACACTTAGTCCGTCAGTCAGTCAGAAAGTCGATCAGTCAAAGGTATTGTTGCAAACCAACACCATAAGTAAACTTTACCATTTGATACAGTAGGGTCTCGTTGGCCATTAACCCCCAACTTGAAAAGGAANGACTGAGAATGTAGTTTTCAAAACAAGTCAAATGTCAAATATCGTACCATGTGGTATCTGGTCTGGTACAGTTTAACCCTAAATGGGCACCTAAGCTCGCCATTCCTGAATCAGTTTCACTTACAGCGTGCTCCTGCCCCCGAGAAGTGTAATATTCAAATCAAGATTCCTTACCAACGTGTTGAGTCCGGAGGCATGGCAGCCTGCACCACGCATGAAGTGCTCGTAACCTCGTATTCACTTACAGAAAGAGGCTTCGAACGACCCAGACGCCCAACCTTAATCTGTAAAAATCAAATGTAAAATTTCAAGCACCCACTTCTGCCCTTGAACAAAGTTTCGCTTTCTTGCATGTAATCATTCGTTAGTGATGATCAACTTTTAAGTTTACTCCTCTGGAAACGGGGGAGGAGAAGGGCATTTTTCCATGCACTCTTTGTGTTCCCTGAGCTGTGCTAACACACGGTGGAGATAAAGAAGAAGAGAGAGAGGGAATTGTCACTCCTTATAATCTGCAATATAAATACCTTGTTGGGCGATACGACATTAACATAAGTAGCACGGAGGTCTCTGTGTACAATATGCTTCATATGGAGATAATGCATAGCAGACGCCACTTGAGACAGGAACGTTACTATATCACCAATCTGACATCGCTTTTCAAGAACATAGTTGTTCAAATTACCGAGAGGAGCCTCTTCGGAGATCTAGTAAGAAAAAAAAATTCCCCGGCTTTAATCTGCTCACTCAGAATTGTCAGTTTTTCTTCATATATGATGTACTATCCACCACTAAAAGTAAGACAAAGGCAACCTGTTTTAGTGCTTCCAAAGTACACTCTGAATGAAATTATTTGAGCGTTGTCCGAACAGAAATGTCAAAATATAGTTTTGCGCAGTACTTCTAGAACTATAGTGATACAGGTGTGGACAAATTCAACGGTACTTACGACATCTGCCATTGGAAAGCGTGAATCCAAACCGTCTATTCTCCATATGGTAACAAGATTTGAATGTTTGAGGGCGAGGAGACCTCTAAGGTGATGATCATCTGTCCTTTTGATCTTCTCGCTGACTATAGAGTCTGAAGTCTGAAATCATACAATCACAGGTGTAACATTGTATGCATAGAGAAAATTATGTATAAAATGAATGGTTACAGTTATGCAGTGTTTTACAGACGGAAGGACGAATATTTATAAGAAATAAGGAGAAATTACTCTCAAAAGAGGTTTCCAGAGATTGCTGAGATAATTTTTAATACAACGGTTATCTTCCGATTCTTCACACTAACATTTTTATGAGTACTAGGCAGACTCTCGAGGTCTCGTATGCTTTTGATTGCCTTACAACGTTAATGACCCGACACCTTGAAAAAAACGTTAAGTTATAAAGCGACG